AGCAATAGTACATTCATGCAGTTGTAAAAAACATGATAATATATTAAGTAATCCAAAGTATTCAGAATACATTACTCTCATTGAGTAACGTAACGGAATACAAAATACATTTTCGGGCATTTATTCTGTAATCTGTAGTGGAATACATTTTAAAAGTAACCTTCCCAACACTGTCCACAGTGCAGTGCTTTAGACATCTGGCTAACAAGCAAAAGCACATTTTTGCTCCAGAATCAAAATCAAAACATGAATTGGAAAAATTATGATACACATTATCCCTGATTGGCATTTGCTTCAGTAAACAACAAATCGATTTATTTAATAATTTAAAAAGTGATAGCCATTCCTCGTTTCACATTATACAACTTCAGTTTTGGGGAATTACAAGCTAGACAATTAATAGATAAAAGGCCTTTAAATTTAATAGTGTCAAATATAGTTAAATATGTTCATATTTTCTCCCGACATAACAATAGCACTCGACTAGCATAAAATGACAACGTTGTAATAACGTCGTAACATCTCAGCAGGTAAACTTGGGCTCTGTTTTTCCTGATAACGCACAAGTGAGTTCAGGAAAGCCTGGAAATAAGAACAAAACCAGTCTTTCCACAGCTGTGCACCAGAGTACTGAATCTCTGCTGTGTTTAAAGCCATTCATATTGAGCAACACGAAAAGGGCAGTGCACTCACCTGTGTGCCGGACATGAACCCCTGCAGCTGTCAGATGGACACCTGAGTTCTCTGCGCTTTATTTTCAGGTCCCTATCCGCCAATCAGCGCACAGTGATTGGTCTTGCCCCTGAGCATTTATGTCCAATAGCATGCAGCGTGGACGCTTCTTACAATGAATGTTCAGCGATCACAGGATGCTTTTTATAGAACTGTTTTTACTTCAAAATGTATCTATATTTTCTACCGTTACTATCCAAACATACAAAGAAGTCTCTCACACAACAGGGTTTAGCAGTGGGCTTTCAGTTTCACGCTTATGCGGTTTTGACTGTTACAAAGAAGCCATTTCTGAGAACTTTCATATATATAACTTATTAATTTTCAAATTAACGTGTTTTTAATCTGTAATTTTACATCGATACGGATTTTAAGCCTCTGAAAATGGGGCATTCCTAATTTAAATGAATTTAAAGGTCCGGGCTTCAACCGCATAATGATTGTTTGATTTAAAATCACAAAAACTACCACTCTCCTAAAATATATTGTGGCGTGAAGAATATATACTACGTTTCTGGCATCATTGCTGTTCACAGTGCTGCTACCGGGCATCGTCAAAAAAACAAATCAGAGAATCTGGAGAAAGTTCTGTATGAAAATCTGTAGTGGATGCCCGTGATGTTTGGGTCTTTGAAATGCATTAAAAGCAGACATGGAAATAACTTTTTGAATGCAGTTCACTGTACCAACCACAAAAGCTCCATCGTGTAAAGAAAGTGCGTGAACGTGATCTAGAAATGCTGCCGTTTTCACTGAGCCAAAGATCGTTCAAAATGGACCGAGCCAAAGTGGAAAACTGTTCTGTGATCAGATGAGCACATGTCCCCCTCCTCTTCAGGGAAGGCCTTGCATATTTCAGCAAGACAATGCTAAACTTCATACAGCATCTATACAACAAGCATGGCTTCACAGTAGAAGAGTCCACGTGCTGAACTGGCCTGCAGTTCAGACCTTTCACCAAATGAAAACATCTGGAGCATTATGAAAAATAATGATGACGAATACAACAAAGAAGACCCGGGACTGTCGAGCAACTTATCCTCTATGAACCGACAATGGAACAACAGTCCTCTCCCAAAAGTCCAGCATCTGGGTCCTGGACAACGAAGCTAGCTCGGCACATTCGGTGATATCTTCACATTATCTGAATCAACTTACCTGTAACCTGCACAAATCAAATCAATGAGCGGCCACACGATCAACTCGATAGATTAACCCTGGGTTTCCCTGCGCGTTCACATGAAAGGGGTGGCGTTAGCAGAATCTGACCAATCACAAGCGGTGCGACTGACTTCAGAGAGATAAAACTATATTATAAGAGGTTAGAAGCACGGGGAAAGAGGTTAATAGAATTCAATATTGTTGAAATTACAACTCCATCGTAAAGTCGCGTTATGCTTTTAGGGATTATAATAAATATATATATTTTTAAATCTTTATGCATTTGTTGTTTAAAGCGGAACAAAATACAGAATCTGCGCAAATTTGATGATGTCAGCAAACACAAATAAATGCTCTATTTTGACATCGTGTATTTATAGAGCGATAATACTTTAAATTATTTTCCAGAGAGCTGATTGGTCAGTAGGGTGATTTCATACCAGCGGATCTCTAATCTTAAAACTACAACCGGCTTCAGAGCAGGTTATGGTCACAGCATAGGTTTCCATGGAGACACTCCTCCTTTAAGAAGTGAACCACCTTAAATGTGCAGGAAACGCAGAGTTAATCCTGAAATTAGCTGGATAAGACAAAAGTGCTTCATAGTATGGGCCTCTGGTCTCAGTTCCCCACGGAAGAGGATTAGGGCCAACAAAAAACAAAAACGTGGGCACATCTTTTCTTTTTTTCTCCTTTTCCAGATTAAAGTCAGAATTCTGACTTTTTTCTCAGAATTCTGGAAAAGAAGAAAAAGGACATACCCATGTTTTTCCCCTCGGTGGCCCTAATCCTCAGCTGTAGTTTAAACATTCAGTTCTGTTCTACTGTGAATAAAACAAACAAACAAACAAATGTTCTCATGAGATTCGCAAATCATTGCATTGTTTTTATTTACATTTTACACAGCCGGATATTGTTTTATCCGCCTATGAAACAAATGATCCAATTTCTGTCTACAGCCTATATGAGATATAAAATCTTGAATCACATGTAATAGAAATGGAAGTAACTATGGCAGCAGAAATGAGTGGGCAAGAAAATCCTGCTTTTTAAATTTTTAAACTAAGAAATTATCCTAGATCATGAACTTCTTCACGACTAAGTTCAACAACACACTACATGTGAGGAATAATGACTCATCAGTGGCTATATCTGATTTTGAAATGAATGCTTACTATGAAATATGAAATGAGACTCAGTAATCATTATCGTTTGGTACAAATTTAAATTTAATGAAGTGAAAGTCATTTTCAGAAATCAAGAAAAACCAAACTCCTCAGTGGATTCACATCTTCGAAACAGCTACCTTTCAGTTAGTCCCAAAACAGATCTGCAAGGGTACAAACTTAAAAAAAGACAGGGATGAACACAGGGAGGGCAAGTAGTCACTGCTCGAAGTTCAGAATCGCCCCGAACGTTCTCTGTCTCTGGAGCGACGTCTCTCATGGTCACGGCCGCCTCCTCGACCCCTGTCCCTGTCTCTGTCCCTGTCCCTCGAGCGAGACCGCCTGTCTCTTGACCGAGACCGAGACCTGATGCGGCTGTAGGTGTGAGGAAGTAGAGGATTAGGAACTGTGACAAAATGTGAAACATCCGAAGGTTTAACGACGTGCCTGACATGCAAAGTTTGTACCTCTTCCTTCGACGGCCGTAGAGCTCTCTCCTCAGCTCACGTGAGATGGGTTTCAGATGCATGAAGTTACAGAAACCACCACGAGTGCATTCCCTGTGGAGAGAGCACACAAAGCATATGAAAACCAGGGCAGCAAGAATCAGAGAACCCAGAGGATATATTTCACCCATCTCTCTACTATACTGGCTTCTCTTCATTGGTTCCCTCTTGAATCAAGAATCTAATTTAAAATAATTCATATACAAGGTCTTGAATAATCAGGCCCCATCTCATCTTAAAGACCTCATAGTACCATATCACCCAAATAAAGCACTTCACTCTCAGACTGCTGGTTTACTTGTGGTTCCTGGAGTAGTTCAAAGTAAAATGGGAGGGAGAGCCTTCAGCTTTCAGGTCCCCTTCCCTGGAACCAGCTCCCAGTTTGGATTCGGGAGACAAGACACCTGCTCTACTTTTAGGATTGGGGTTAACACTTTTGTTTTTTGCTAAAGCATATAGTTAGGGCTGGATCAGGTGGCCCTGAATCCTCCCTTAGATATGCTGCAATAGCTGTAGGTTGCTGGGAGATTCCCATGGTGCATTAAGTGTATCCTTTTCATTCCCCGTTCTTTCTCTCCAATCACTATGACTTTATACACCACTCTCCATTTAATCATTAGTTATTATTAATCTCTAGCTCTTCCATAGAATCTTCTAGAACCTGGTTTTGCTGGAGGTGTCTTCTCATTAAAAAGGAGTTTTTCCTTCCCACTCTCGCCAAACCACTTGCTCACAGGGAGTCATCTGATTGTTGAGTTTTCTCTGTATTATTTTAAGGACTTTACCTTACAATATAAAGCGCCTTGAGGCAACTATTGTTGTGATTTGGCGTTTTATAAATAAAAATTAATTTAATTACTTTTCCCAGGAACAAACAGAAGCTTCTAGTTAGAAACTTTACCTTGAATTTAAAAAAAAAAGAAGTACTCATGAGTGGACTGTGACAGTGACTTTCATTAGGCGCACCATGAATAGGATACCAAACACTGCTTTAAACTTTAAACCTCTAAAATGAATCAGCTAATTGGCAAATAGGTTTTACTTGTGCTGATTAAATGATCAGAAATTGCCGAACACATCTGAATTTCTGTTTCTCTCCAGCACTTTTTTGTCATTCATTCATACATTCATACATTCATACATACATACATACATACATACATACATAAAACAAGGTAAAATCATCAAAACTGGCCAAACCTATACTGAACAAGAATTTCACCACTGCTACACAATATCATATTTCTACCATCCTCACTTTAGTTCAATAAAACAAATACTGAACTACTGGAAACACATAGCTGGTTTTGCAAATGAACTTGATGTTGGAAAAAACAAAAAACAGTTTAGGACACAGTCTGAAGCTGTCCTTTAATACATGTGGTACACAACATTAAACAACTGGAAATACTGTGTTGGTTTTGGCTGAAGCAGCTGGCTAAACAGAGCGAATAATAATGCAACGGGGGGTGGGGGGGGTGGACGACACACACCAGGCATCTGCTCACTAGCTGTGAATTTACCAAACTATTATAATCTGACTCTGTATCAGAAAGCTGGCCCACCCTGACTGTGTTGGACATTCCTGTTCTGGACCCTCTGTAAGGCCTTTTGGGGTTAGATACAGCTTGTAAGCTGTTTCCTTTGATGTAAAACTCACCCGATCTCATACTGGCGACAGCAGGCTTCTCTAAAGTCTGTGACAGGAGACAGCTCAGCATGGATGGGCTGTCCATTAAACCACCGATTGTTTAGGTCTATCACAGCCTTCTCAGCGTCCTCCTCTTTACGAAACTACAAAGAGAGATGGCAGTCGAAGAGAAAAGTTATGTCAGTGGATCAAAGCCAAATTTCACTACATGTGTGGAAAGTGGAAGCCTGACACTCACCTTCACATACACGTTTCCAACTAGGTGGTCACCGAGGTTGTCACATACGTTCATTTCCTCCACTTCGCCGTACTTTTCTTCCATCTCTGTGAACACCTCCTGTGAGGAAATGATAGAGAAGTCAAGTCTGATGTTATGTGCGCAGTGTTTGGGAGTAACGGAATACATTTACCGCCGTTACGTATTTAAAATACAAAATATGAGTAACTGTATTCCGTTACAGTTACCATTTAAAAAGGTGATATTTAGAATATAGTTACTTTGTTGAAATAAATG